GTTGTTTCCTATTTTATGGTACGATGTGGTGTGCTTGATTGGTATATAAACAAAGTATGTCTGAAATACAACGATTCATAACTCAGAGGCTGTGACTTGCGTTCTTGACTCAACTGGCTAGGACAGACTGCGAAGCGGGACCAATCAGGGCACTAGGTCGTCCATACGTGTTTTCCGTGTCCACTGTACTCGATCGATAAATACGCTGCTTATCAAACCTGCAGTCCACACACACGCGTTACAACAATTGGCGACGGGGTAGAGAGAATTTTGAACCCTGTAATTGGACGAGATTCAGTATAATTGTTCTGACCAATCAGTATCCAGATTTTTCGTCGGCGTCCTTGGGAGTCATTGGTTGTTAGTTGATTACAGTATTTCTCATTACTCTGCTGATTCAGAAAATGACTATCCCCTCCGATCAATTGCAGATACTACTAGATCGTTTCAAAGAGAGCCAGTTGAAAGTTTTGGACTATATGCGCACGCGACTGCTAAATCTCCCGTGTTTCGGAGATGTGAAAGAGGTTGACGAATTAATTTCTCACCTGCATACTGAACTCGAGAATGACTGCAGGACATATGAAGATGAAAACAAAAGCCTCTATGAATCCCTTATGATCAGTAATGCAAACGTGGCAGTCGCGCATGATCCATCCAGAGATCCAGAATTGTCCAATTCAGAAGTATGCCCTGTTGTGGGTTCAAATCCCACTGTGCCTGAAACATGTGAGGTATCCAGCTTACAAGAAGAACCTCTCGTGCCAGAAAATGTTTCCCGTGCATCAAATGATGGTCAGAAATCTGATATGAATTTCAAAGATGCTGTTTGTTTTAGTGACCTATTATCCAGTGATCGCATTTTGAAGAGGTCTGAAGGATATGTTGCACAAAAATCAAACCTTAATGACGTCATGTCTGGTGTCGCTAATCCTTATCATCTAGTCAGTTTTAGTGAACCCTCTACTCAATGCGCGAAATATGCTTTAAATAGAATCAGACTGATTGTTGCTTGGGTATATGAGGACCCAACGTTATTTCGCGGGGGAGGACGGACGCAGAAAATTTTAAAGTCCAGATATTAACTCCCGATCTTTCAAAAAAGGGGAGGTGTTAGGATAGTCGGAAAAATATACCAATAATTATCGTGTTAAGTCTATGGTGTCCTTGGACCTTAAATGTACATTTCTTATTGGTCGATGTTTATTTCACTTGTTAAATATTTTGTAAATGTTGTTTCCTATTTTATGGTACGATGTGGTGTGCTTGATTGGTATATAAACAAAGTATGTCTGAAATACAACGATTCATAACTCAGAGGCTGTGACTTGCGTTCTTGACTCAACTGGCTAGGACAGACTGCGAAGCGGGACCAATCAGGGCACTAGGTCGTCCATACGTGTTTTCCGTGTCTACTGTAATCGATCGATATAAACGCTGTCTAGCATAACCTGCAGTCCCACACGCGTTACAACATATACCATGCTTCCCGTCAGATGTGGACGTCTTTATAATCCAGTCAAACACTAGAAGAAGGAGAAGGGGAGGAATAAGCAGCCTTGTCTGACTCCAATCCTCACTTGGAATGCATCTGTCAGCTGTCGTCCATGCCCAACCTCGCAGTGTAATCCATCGTACGAATTCCGGATCATTTTGACGGTCTTATCAGGTTATGAGTGTTTACAATATCTGAGTCAGATTGTTAATGAACACATTTGGAGAATCGTAATAATTACATCTCGCTTACTTATCATTTCATCATCTAAAACAATTTGTGAACGTACACCAGATAATCCGAGTGTTTAGAAATTTATATTGATGTTAGAAATATTTGTAGTCTCTTTGTTAATCGGAATGAATTCATTATAGAAGGCTAAAGATAATGAGTGGTAATGATAACACTGTATAACAATAAATTATTCAGCTGGTAAATGTATTGATGATTGTAAGCATTGTATTTTTAATTTGATTCTCTATAGCCAATAAATTCTGCTTGAGTTGTCGAGATATTTTCAAGTTTAGCTGCTTATCCTTTCTTGGTCTACCTAGTGGACACTGTATAACAATAAATTAATCAGCTGGTAAATGTATTGATGATTGTAAGCCAATAAATTGGATTATTACGTTTAGAATAACTTTATCAGTGATTGGAATTAAATATATGCTAAGATGATAATCAAATGTAAGCAATCCATAGAAAGGGTTTGGTGAAAATAAATTAACCGTGTTTTGAAGTTCAAAACATTCAATGTCCTGTATAATGATAAAAAATCTGAAGCTTTTAATTCACTCATGTGAATAGAAACCAGGTGATTTACCAGCTTCGTAAGTAATGTTACTTAACTTGGTAATGTATATGAAGCGGATAACAAATATGCTAGATTTGACAGTACTACTGTCTGAATCTTTTTTTATTAAAAATGATCCCAAAGCCAATAAATACAGAAGTTGAAGATGAGGAGGATGAAAATTTAACTGAATTATGTTGCATCATATTCTAATCATAAAATCCATGTGTCTTTTAGAATAGCAAACGTTATAAATACTAGCAAGTTGAATATATCAAATCCGTATGTTATTTTAATGTACAATTTCTACCTGTTGCAATTAGCTTTGTAATTTTAGCTTAGTAAGACGTTGCATCTTAATGTCCATAAGCCATTTTTATTAACGGTTTTGAGAGTTTCTTTCTTACACAAAAACAATTACATACATCAACTGGGTCATTTAATGCCTTTATTGTTTTAATAAGAAGCATAGAATCCAACATTTTACTTAAAAATCTAGTCTTTAGATTCTGATATTGCAATACGAACCAGTGAGATCATTATGTTGGGGAGTTTGTGTCCAAACATGTTTTAAAATTTTAGGTAGAGATGAGTTTATTATTTATCCCTTGTGAGTTTCTATGAGTCGAACTGGACAATCTATCCTCGGGTTGAAAAAATTCAATAACACTCCTTATCGACTATGAATGTTGGTTTTGACAGACCTCATAGGAGGCCCAAAACTTAGGAAATAACCAATCAGATCTAAGTTAGTGACTACTGATTTGGCACACAATTCATTCATTTATATGGCTAAACGGAATTTCGATATTATAGCTGATGTTCGTTCGTGATGAAAACCCTGACTCTAATTTTTAACTTCAACGCTTAAAACTAAATCCTAATCCAAATTAACCACGCTAATTTAAAATTCTGTTTTGATTCTTACAGTTGTTGAAGTTACTGAAAGGCACTTAATTATAGCCCAAATATCATCCACAAGTTATTGTCTGGATAATACATTTTGTCGTAGAATCAAATGTGTTAGTGGTTAATCAAGCTTCTGATAACGAAATGAATTTTATATTAGTTTATTTCAGTTGTTGCTATTTCATTCAAATCTATGGACGATATGAGTTATTTGAGATTTTTCATATTCTTTCATCTCTAATCCAACCATCTTTTGTTATACAGATTATCTTGTTTGTCAATTATGATTGTTGTATTAACTGCCGATCAACATTTTTTCTTGTAAACTGTTTGTTGACGATGGAAAGGGGATCAGCGTCGTCAAATCAGCAGTCAACTGAGAGATGAATTATGCAACATTCTTGAACACATCAACTCTCCTTCAACTTATGCTCCATCCTTAGGTAGCTCACAAGTGGAAACAGAACACATCATTGACTTCTCTATATGTGGAATTTCACCCTATCGGTTTGGTATAAATTATCTTGCTAATTCATGTCAAAGTCATTCCGGAGTGAGTGTGACTATAAGGTGTACATTTGAAGATGTTAGACTTTGATATATATTTTTATTTTCACATTTTGTGTATTATCAATAATATGTATCTAATCTTGATACTGATATTGGACTATTGGTCATAGACGATTCGGAATTTGAATAATACGATTAGGTTTTAGAATTATGGGGTATGTTTGCGCAGTGCATTCTAAATAATCTGATTAAACATATATATGTCATGAGATTAAGTATGAAAAAATAAAAAAACCCAACTAGAAAAGTCAAACAATAAAGGGAAACAAGGATATTAATAAAGTATGCAATGTGATAACCACTCTGAACAATGAATTAGTATTACCAAGGTAGCTAACGGGTAAGAACAGGTTATTTCTCATTGCTTTCCAGTTTTTGTGCAGCTACGACTTCGACAAACTTTAATACACAGTCTTAAACACATTTGTACAAAACGCATCTCAAAAAACTTATCTGTACAAGCAGTACGTGGATGATGTTATAGTCTTATGTGATAAATTTGAAGATGTGAACCAATTGTTTAGGGAACTCGATATAAGTCAAAAGTGTATTTGTCTAATATGCAAAGAAGAGATGAATGAAGATCCTTTAAACTCCAGGGCAGAGTTTAAATGGTTTAAGTTGTTTTCTCAGTTTAGCATATTTTTAGAAAAGTCATTTTCCACGAGATGGGGTTGCTGATCCCATACCAAACCCTCCAAATTTATTAGGGTTTGTGACCGGCAGTAACCTTAGAAGAGATACAGGAGGAGTTATCATTGTAATATGTGAGGATTTAGTAGCTGGCCTTATAAGTTTTCATGAAATTCTTAGTGGCAACTATATTAATAAATCAATTGCATTTATGATCTTTCACTGCTGCAATATTCATTAACATTAAACATTATTTCCAGCAACCTCTTGCATCAAAAGCAGTATTTAGGGCATAAAAATACCAATTTACTTAGTCCTGATAAGTAGATTAATAAAATTATTTCTGAGAATCAACAATTCAATATAGTGTTCAGTTCGACATCAATTAAACCAACCTATAAAAATTTCGAATAATTAATGCAATTCGAGCCATGTGAATGGTTGAAATCAACAATTTAAATATATATTTGTTAGGTAATCCAAAAATGAGCCAATGAGAAATCAGTGCATGACAAAATGTTAGAAAGTTTCGGTTTGTGAAACAGTATTTAAACGAACCAAATCAAACGACAAAAGTTGTAGACCTCGTAAGTGGAAGATATGCTTCCTACTGTCTTATCGACAGTTCCGAAATGCTTGTTATTTTTCATAGCAGTCATACTATCACAGTATAAAATTGAGTGTAGATCGTCATTATTGAATGTAACAGATCCAGAAACTTGGAAGAAGTTGGCAGATGAGAGATTTAATAAATTTGAACAATCATTAACTTATTTATTACTTAAACGACCAAGAAATATCATCTTATTTATTGGTGATGGTATGAGCTTGAACACTGTTACTGGAGCAAGATATTTGAAGGCGGAGAGGATGGATGTTTTAGGTGGTGATGTACAGCTAGAATGGGAAAACTGGCCTGTTGCATCACTTGTCGTACATTCAACTCAGACAGACTGACAACAGAGTCAGGTTCTGCGGCAACTGCTTTTATGTCAGGTAAGTCGTAAGGTGAGCAAATTTCTTTAATGAGACAACTACTACTTCATTGCCATATTTTAACTATACATGTCCTGTGAGATAAAAATCGGAACATTTCGTTGATCATAGAACAATGTGTATATTTGAAGCAAATGAATTTAAATACACTTGAAGTGTTTTGTGATTTACTATTCTGTAGATAGTCTCGTTTATCAAATTGATTCTGTAATTCTTCTGCACAACATAAGCGGAATCTGGAGAATAGATAAATGTATAATTAGTTCCACTTACAAGTCAGATTAATTACCTTTTATGGGAGATGTTATTCAGATCCACGTAGGTGTGGTACAGATCGATTTTGATGTTTCTGATCAGTATTTAATTATCCCATATCCACTAATGAAATTCGCACTCCATTGAGTACTTATACTGGTCCGAGTTTCCCACAATTTTATAATCTGGAGAAAGCCGATTGCAGTAGAGATAAAAACTCATCTCATCTTCTTGGTTTACCTTATCATGAGCTTCTTTGGAGTTCGTATGGGAGGTTAAGCCACATAGAGCCAATCAGGTAGAAAATTGATTAGTTATCAATTAGTAATAATGATCACATCAAATTGATTGAAATCAGTAACCGAAAACCATTAGCTCACATCTGACTGATTCAATAATGTTATTCTCCATGTGATAAAACAAAAGCTTTGTATTTGATCATGAATTCATGAGCTAAATTAAGGCGAATAACCAGTGGACAGTGATACTTCTTCCACAATGTTTCCCATTTGGTATTTGTCAATAATGGAAGATATGCTAGACGAAAACTTTTGAAATACTGAATACTCTAAATAATGTATTCTAATCGGTCGAAGAGTCGAATCAAAGTTCATTTTAAACAAAGAACATGTTTTGAAGTGTACACATTAAGACTTCAGAAGGTTAAGTGTCAAATACAGTTTTCATAGTTCACTGATATAAGTCGAATGAATGTTGATTTAACTTGAGTTGGAAGTGTAAGATGCTAGTCTATGAGCAGATCACTATGCTATCAAAGATGAATGGATTTATTATGATGAGATGTATGCAAAATCGCACACATAGCAATTTAGTTTTCTGTTGTTTTAATTGATGAGATATTTCAGCTGCATGTTATATTGATTAAAACATTTTCAGGTGTGAAAGGGCCTTATGATACTGTCGGCATCACGGGAACAGTGAAGTGCTGTGAATGTATGAGTTAAAAGAAGTTGAAAGAGCGAAATCTTCTCTCATGTATGCCTCTAAAGCAGGATTTTCCACTGGAATAGTAACAACTACGAGGGTTACTCATGCAACACCTGCAGCAGCATATGCCAATATGTTGCATCGAGATTGGGAGTCAGTAGGGTAAGTGCAAATTATATTAGACAGTGATTTTACATTTATGTATAGTTTTAATGTGATAAAGTACATAAATTATGTGTGCAGGTTTTATCGTAATTAACTCCGTTTACAGTTAGTGTTTTGTGTATTTTGTTTGAGTACGACAAACTAAGAAGCATTAATTTTAGAAAACGGTTTTTCCCAATACACTGTGAATGAAATATGTAAACTTGGTGAGATTAAGATTTCCTTAGAAAAATGATAGTGTAGTATCTATAGTGGTATCTATATATCATAAGGTTCACTTAAGTTTGTGTCCATAAATGATCTGTTTCATATCACTCAAAAGGAATTATAAATTTGAAGTGAAATCTCACATTCATCCGGAAGCTATTAAACATTTATCCATTAAATTGCTTTATTGTTACTTTATGTCAGATTGCTTTGATCCTAAATAAAATAACCTTCCCAATGATGACTTTCTTATTTGGGCTCCACACAGTCATGAATAGATAGGTTTGAAACCACCGTTCACCTGCTATGGTCAATAAAATGATAGTGCCATTATCATCTTTACACAAAAATGTTTGGTTCAAAATAGAGAGTAAGAACTTGGGTTTTATGAATGAGTTTATAATTAGTCCTCTTCAAAATGGTCAAGGGAATTTATGTTGATTGCTTTATCATCTATGTGATCGGCTGCCTCTACCCACATGACATCTGGTGAAATAAAACACCATTAATTCATTAATCATCTTTAAAAATCGACGTGTTTATCTAACTACATACAGAATTTCAAGATGGATTACGGTATAAATGTGCTACAATTGATCCCAGAATATTCGGGATAAATAAATCAACCGGTGATAATCACAATAATATATTCAATATCCACGAATTGCATTAGTTTACGAACACAGTACAATATGGGCATAAGACAAGGTGTGATGAATAAATTACCAACTTATACACGAATACATATAAGAGCTTACCCACATTAATTTATCTATTCGGCTAACTGTTTGAATAGAAATTACAACCGGTCTTGGTTTTGACGAAATGTGTAAACTTTTGTAGGTCTAGTTTCATAACCATATCTGGTTTAGCAGCAATCAGGAGCAAACATATGCCTTATCTACTTCTTGAGGTAGCTAACTTCTCATTGTTAAATACCAGTGCTTGATGGTGTGACTCAAAATCAGATCAAATACATTGATCTGTAATTGTGGTATATGCTGCTTATATCGACGGTCATACACAGTTACTTATAGTAGCCGTTGTAGTGAAATGGATGTGGTGTTCATTAGAATTTTGACACGAAACAATTTATAGTAGTTCGATTCACTTTCACACTGATATCTTCTGACTACCTACACTGAAGCTCCATCTTCGTATTTTCACTGTTACCACAAGTGACTGACTTCATCATCGTCATCATCATCATCACTGTCACTTATTTCTCCTCTCATTCAGACCATCAAACAAGCGCGGATTCCACTGCGTAGACGCTGCTGCACAACTACTGACAAACGCTTCTCACGTCAACGTCATAATGGGAGGAGGGGCAGCCGAATTCTATGGTCCGTCAGACAATACCACTTTCAACATGAAAGGCAAACGCTCTGATTCACGCAACCTACTACAAGAATGGAAAGATATGCAGGCTGAAATGAATCGCAAGCATGTTCTCTTACATACAAACGATGAGTTTAAACGAACCGACTGGTCTTCGATTGACTACGTTTTGGGTAGGTTCTATGATTCGTGAGTTTCGCTACACAGTGTTACTGTGAATCAGTAACTAGTAAACAACTCTCTGTTTTTGTTTATGTTTAAAATGAGGCTGCCTGAGGCGTTATCGATTGCACGTGCTGTGTGTTGATTGGACCAATGTGTGTTGAGTTACTGACACTATCATTGATTTTATGGCATTTCATTCAGATATAATATTACACATTGATTTTCAGGTTTGTTTGCTCCGAGTCATTTGGCTTATCAACTGGAAAACCAAGACCAACCAAGTTTAGCAGAAATGACAGAAGCTGCTATCAAAGTACTTTCTCGTAATCCTAAAGGATTTCTTTTGTTAGTGGAAGGAGGTAGGATTGATCATGGGAATCACGACAATCGAGCCCAGTAAGAAAATATTATTATAATTTCAACTATTTCCACAATTAAAACTAATGACACTGTCATGATATTTTTGGTCTTTGGTATGAAACTAAACTGATGTCGACTATTTCTCGTCGTTTAATCTAAAGTTTGACGTGGAGTGTTGTTTATTAAAGTTTCCGACACATGTATTTGTCATTTTAATTGGATTGATGATACGATTACTTTTCCAAATTCTTACCGATTACAGATACGCGTTAAGTGAAACTTTGGAGCTCGAAAAAGCTGTCGAGAAAGCATTGTCGCTTGTTGATCAACAGGAAACACTACTGCTAGTAACAGCTGACCATTCACATGCATATGGAGTGGTCGGCTATCCAACAAGGAACACAAGTGTGCTAGATGTTGATAATACTGCAAAAGTAAGTGTTAATCCTTTTCCATTTTTAAGCATTTGAGTAAACAAGAAACGGTTTCTTAGCGAAACACATCAATTTACCAATATCTGATGTATGTAGTAGGCAACAAATGAACCTACTGATGTCAATGAAATGACAATAGGTAACATGTAGCAACTTGAAGTTATGATTGGCAAAATATTTAAAGTCTCAAAACGATTGGAAACTGGATTCATAGTTACAAAGTTCCCATCCTGACTCCTGTATGTATGTATTATTGTCACATAAATGCAGATTCAACAAAGGACATTCAATGTAATCTGAAATGAACATAACCAAACACACAATCAGTCTCAATTTAGTTAAAATACTGGGGATTAATATAGAAATCGCATGATCCGTTTGAAAGATTTGTCAACAGTAAGATCGCAGTTAAAAGCTCGCGTATAACACCGGAACAATTTTCAGGGCAAAGAATGCTTACAATGATTGAGTCTAAACATAGTTTCTGTTTGCTTGAGATGTTTGTGGAGATCCTTCAGTTGACATATATTCCTCATGAAATCCAGTCTCAAAACGGATTTAATGAGTATCGAAATGTTGTTAACTGAATATGAATTAGTCAGATATTCAGGAGGGAAACAAAAGATTGACTACTTCCTTATCGCTAACATATTTTATCAACGAATTCGACAACACATTCTCGTCATGTAACATGATTGAATGGTTATTGAACAATGAGATTGCATAATTTATCGGAGTTATCCTAAGCAGATAAATGAGTCGGTCAGATTACAATTGATTGACTCTTTAAAGTAGTTGAAATGGGTTGAAAGTGGAGTCCATGTAAGCTGAGAGCACAGTAAAACAAACGCAATTGTTTTTAAAACAGGTCAATTCTCAAACTACTTCATTTATTTGACTTTGAGTGCAGTTTTAGGCACACCGATTCAAAATTTGCACAGCTCACCAGTTGTGATAATTGAGAGTTTGTTGATTTAATGGTACCAGTGCATACATGTAAATGGTGAAATCAATGAATTCGCGTAAAATAAGAACAACGATTCAAGCATAATAACATGAGTCCGTTATATTCATCTCACCTTCACTTGAGCTTGTATGCGTTCATGTTTATTATGACCTCTGAAT